TTTTGCCATTTACATTATTTAATTATTTTTTTTTGAATATCTTAAAATCCTTTCTTAGCTGACCTCTACTCGGTGAAAAGAATATTCCTACCAAATTTCAAGCTCTAATGGTTGCAGAGATATCGTGATGAGTGACTATATACGTGGAAATCTCTTATATATATATACGAGTAGATAAATTTAAATTAGTTTAGTGTAACATATGACGGGGCTGACCAGACAGAAAAATTCCTTGTATGATGCGTAAGTAATGTCCAGATTTTAACAAACTTTATAGCAACGTCCTTTCCACGTAATCAGGGGTCAGTTATTTTTGTACTAATACATGTTATCTTTGAAAAGATTAAATGTTTGCGATAGCAGGTGGATGTACTGTTAACTGATAGCAATTGTGTAGGCATAAGACATAATGTAAGGGGGTTTCAACCTATTAGTGCATTTCTTAAACTAGCTCTTGGTCGCGGCTTCACTTGGGGTAAAGTCGATTTTGTCCATCAATTTTACCTGAACAAAAATAGCCTATGTGGTTTTCGAGACAACTATTATATGTTTTATTCCATTCAGGTTTTGGATATAAATTGTCAAATATCTCAAGAGCAGCTAATTCTTTTCCATTCCGGCTTTAATTAAAATTGTCATCAAAATTAGTACTGTTAGGGCAATCATCTATTATTTTTATCGGTATCTATTTAAATCACTGCCTAGGCAGTGATAATATCTATCATTACTAAGGCAGTGATTTCTGTTCACTGTTACAAGCTATGTACTTGCATTAAATTTTCCTTGACATAATGTGCATTTTTAACAATACTTACCCTTTTAACTGTTTTATTAAAACCGCGAGTGTTAAATATAACGATTCATTGTAAGAACATTACCTAAGTACGAGTATATATAAAGACGAGTTCGATTCCCGGACCATGCAAAATTTTATAGGGTTTTTCTGAGAGAAAAAATAGCCTAAGTTACTCCTTATATAGACAGCTACTTGGTAGTAAAATATTATCAAAATCGGTCCAAAATCGGAACAAACAGACAGATAGACAAAAAATATTTAAACTGGTTTTTACGCATACGTTTTACGTAGCGTGCAAATAACCGCGTGAGCATGAAAAAACCTATTATTTTGACGTTACAAACAGACACTTCAATTTTATTCATTTGTATGTATAGATAAATAAAGCAACGAAGTTTCTTTCTCATTTTTGTAGAGGTTCGCTATGATGTCGGAAAAAAGGCCTGTTACTCATTCTTCGCGTTACGCGCGATAAGAAACTTCCTTCCAAAAATATATTAAGAAGGAATAAAATAAAACAAAGTTATTACCAAAACGGCATTTCAGATTTCAATTTAATTTCTAGACTTAGACAGAGACATGTATACACAGATTGATGTAACAGATAGAAAAAATATTCGCCATCTTTACTACGTTCAAAAACAAAGCGAATAAGGTAGCACAGTTTAAGAACCTAACTTGAATACTTCTAAACACTTTGCTAACAAATAATTAGTAATTCCTTTTTTACTTTAATTTCTGCATTCTACTTAAAGAACATACATATCTTAAGTACTTAAGTACTAGATGTTAAAATCCATTAACACAATGTAGGTGCATCTAAACAATAATACACAATATGTATAAAAATTATGACTTGCCCGCCCCTACTTGTTAATTAATTAAAATTATTAAGTAAATTTCAATATTTTTTTTAAACGACTTCAAAAAAGTGAAGAGATTTTCTATTCAGTTCTACTTTTTATGTTTTTCTATTTCAGAATTGCGTCATTTATGAAACTAAAAAAAATACCACATCAAGGGTGGACTCATCATGTTTAGTGGGCGCATTGATTGATTGGTGATACTCTTTTCAACGTTAATTATAAAACTGATTATCGTCTATTACTTGTATGTGAGAAATTGTTGCTGGGTACTTATTTCAATAGTAGTCAAATTTTACATTCCATTCTTGTTACGGTTTCTATCAATGTAGCAATATTTGAAACTGCATCGGTCCATGTGTTTAAGTCTAATCTATATATGTAGTTAACGAATCAATTACTTGAAATTTTTGTAATTGAGTTCTGTGATGTCTAACTGATCTTGTCTACTGGTGTGCTTAAAACTGAAATACCTAACTTTTTCATATCTAAACCAAGATGGACGCTACATTTATTTGTAAATTGTCATTTTTGTTTATTTGCATTGTACCATTGACTTTATTATCTTACTTTTTCATATACTTAATAGGAAATGTCGAATCCTTTGCCAGCAATATTAGACCTGTGTTTGAATAATGTATTTTTTTACTTAATCAAATAAAAATCAAGTGTACAACCAATGATATTTTGTATAATATAATTGCCTATAACCTAATTTTTCAAAGGCGGGAAATGACACGCATCAATAGTGTGTACTGTACCTCACTGTATTTTTTATGGCCGATAAAATTGCATATCTCTTATCATATCAACAAAGCAATTTTATTACTTATGTAACATTATCAGGGCTGTGTATCATAAACGGTCGGGAATTTAACTTTAGGACATTGTGAAAAATCGTTCAGTATCCATTGCGATCTCGGCCTAGCTTCTCTAACGACTGGTAAGTACCTTATATTTTTTTTAAATCTGTCTAAGGCATTGGTGGCTTTTTTTAAATATAACGTGGCTCATTTGACTGTCCTTGGTTTACAAACCGTATAACACATAAAGGAAAATAACTGGCCGGAAAAACTGTTTCACTTTTTGTTATTGTGACTCGAAGAGAAAATAAAAAAAATAAAAAGAAAGTAGTTTAAATTGTGTCACGTAGAATGTGTTGACAGATGTCAAATTTGTCAGATGTTAATAAACTGAGGTCATTTCGTGTTTCCTGAACTTTTAAATTTTGTTAATCTGGATAGAGATAACGTTCTTGTTTGAGTGGTGTTCTAAAATTCGATTTTGAATATTTTATTGACCTGACACCATTTTTAATACCTGTGTTTTTTCTCTCCATTTTATTATCGCCTGTATCTAGATATACCATAGAAATCACCATAATAATTTTATTAAGATTTCTATGAATTATACTATCACGAATTAATTAATTTATTAGACTTAATTTGACAGAGATAATAGCTGTAATGTCCAAAGTGGTCATGGTTTTATTTTAATGTATGTACCTAAAGAGACGAATATTGTTTCTTACCTGTTGATTCAGGGAATTAGTGCCGAATAATCATATATTGAAATTTTTGCTTTAAAAATAGTTAATCTAATCAACATTAGACAAAATGAAGTTGTTTTTAAAAAGGAAATGTCTGTTGTGACGTGGTATTCAAGTTCATATCTACCTATTTAAGTGAATTTGTATTAAACCGACTTTAATTATACATATTAAAGTCGGTGAAATATTCTTTATGTTTGTTAAATTAAGATCCGGTATATTTCTTTATGTTTCTTAACCCAGAACTCTGTAATTTATGAACCGATTTAGAGAATTATTTTATTAGTGAGGGTATACTTGAATATAATTGTTCCGTTATCTTTTGCTGATGCTAGGTAAGGGGTCTGTAATATCTTAATCTCGTTTCGTTCCCTTCGCACTTCATCTAGTACGCCAAATTCCCATGTTACATTTACCAGTCTATGGTTTCTCTTCAACTTTAATCAGTTCTGTTACCCAGTTTTATTCTTCAAAGTTTTATTCTCCTATGCGTACCGACTTAAGGGGCCCTGTATTTAACTGGCCAAGGGCTTGTTAGCGACATCCAATACGTTTCCGATGTAAACCAACTCCTAATTGTAGCGCAGTAGGTCATCAATTAGTATATGTTTATTAAGTACTTACGTTTTTATCTCTAATTAAAGTTTGACTGGTAGCGATCGTTATTAGCGATAAAACTACCTATTGTATTCTAATCTGTAATATACTAGCGAATTGGCCCAGCTTCGCACAAGTATCGCTACAATATTTTACGGTTTAACCTACTTAGCTATTTTACAGCGACGTGTTTACAAGATATTTTTCTATTTTAAATTGAATTTAAAAAAAAAGTTAATTAGGTTTTAATTATAAATTTAACTTTTTTTTAAATCTAATAATAGTGAAAACCACCAAAACAGATGCGTAAAACGACTTCGTTTTATACTATGTACAAAGATTGATTACAATTTTACGATATTATTGGTGTTGTATATCTATTTATTTTTATTATTCTAAATTCCTACTATAAAATTCCATGTTATTATTTAAATGGTCGTAATACATCAGTTGTAAAAATAGGGTCTTTGAAGTTCCCCCTATTCAATGTCAGATTAGCCGGATTTCCCCTACATAGTTCACATCACTTGCTACTGCAGATAGTCAATGAACGATGGAAAGTGCACGCCGGCTCTAGTTTCCGTTGATAGCTGTCATTGAACTCGGGGAATGCGCGCGTGCATACTATTCAAGACGACCATTGGACTAAAACGTCAATGGTTTTTATTTTTTAATTTCTCTATGACTGCGAATATAGTTTCATCTTTATATTTTTTAATAAGGATAGTTTTATTTTGCAAATGATTTATAGGCGCGTGAATCAGTTTGACAGAAGGTGATCTTCTAAAGTCTCTTGGAAATCGGCGTCGCTTTTTAGCGATTCGCTAGAACCAGAAGCTTATTCAGACATATTAAACGAATATTAATAGCGTATTATAACTCAATGTACAGAGACTCCGTTTTTGTATTGGTTTAGATAACAGGTTAATTAATTGTTTAGTTAACATCTAAGGATTTTTTATAACGAAGTTCCTTTTCCGGGCGTTACACGCTCTAAGCGGATGGGAGCGAGACCGAAAAATTTTGGAACAAGCCTTTTTTCCGACACTACAGCAAATGTATACCAAAAAGCGAAAGGAGCTTTGTTCTGATTGGGGGTCCATAGACCCTACACGCCGTTTTACTTATCTATATCAAACAGATTTACTAATAAATAAATGTTTTGTTGTTACAGATCTCAAAGAAATAACAAACCATGTCTCTCAACGATGTAAGTATATTTTTTTTTTATATTTAAAATTTCTTTTGTTGCCATACGTCTGTCATAATCCAGTTCGATGGGTTACTTTTTAGAACAACTTTAGCAATTGCCTTATTTACTAGTCGATTGTCGCTATACCTTATCGAAAGGCACTCTTATTCCAGTAGGCAGCGTTAACCCGCACTAGGAATCCAAACGCGAGTAACATTTAAGCAAATGTTTTGAAGTTTTTACATTATGATCAATACATGGTAGATACAATCAGCATCAGATACAAAGAAGCAGATATACCTAATGTATAAAACTCTAAATAATAAGGCACATGTTGATGACATTCATATATCCGTGTATCCTAAATATTAGGTCAATCTTTTATTTTCAAATACATTGCAAATCGTCTAGAGCAGGCAGTTTAAACGTTTAATCGTTTAAAATTAAAAAAAACATGCTCAACAAATCGCCTAACTTGCAGCTCACGTTGAAAAATTTATTGGGTAAAAGACATTATAGAGTGCAAATTGTGCAAGTGCAAATTTTTTAAATTATTTATATCAAACGCCGGAGAGAGGGGTCGCTATTATTAAGTTTCTGCCCCTGTTCGAAAAGTAATCGTAGATCCGGGGCTGATCGTTCATCGGCATAAAAAAGAACGTCATAAGTAAAGAACTTGGTCAAAACACAATGAGAAAGTAAAATTTATCTCAATGTGCTTTGATTGAATATTATTTATAGACAATGTTTTCTTGGAATACTATATTTTTCAATTAGCCAATCCTGAAAATCTGTGTTACATACAAAAGTAGGTATGGAAAATAAATTTAAGGTTATTAATTTGACATGTGTATAAAGTGTAGAACAGCAATCGTTCTTTAATTACATTAAAACCTACATTTTAGTCGTTATTACTCACATTGAATTCGCATTCGCATTTTGACACACTCTCTACAAGTATCCTTATAATGAGTGCCGTTTACAAGTAAAAATTATCGTTACTTGTCATATTCAGAACCTACTAAAGTTATACCTACTAAGTTTATAACTACTAAGTTTCTACTAAGTCAGAATAAGATATCTAACATAAATAACATAATCTAATCTAATCTAACAAATCTAACATAAATGATATTAGTAGGAATAATTGAAAACATTGTATCGGTCACAATTCAGTTCCGATCAACTTGCGATCTCACAACTGTCAAAAAGGTATTTTCGTAGTAAAATAGTAAAGTATTACTAAGACTAGCAGATTATCGATTCAATTATCGGCAACAATACGTTATAATCACATTACAGTCAATGTGTTGGAGGTTTATTACTTTGCTACGAAAATACCTTTTATGACAGTTGTGAGATCGAAAGTTGATCGGTACTGAATTGAGACTGAACAACCTTAACGATCGAATTACGAGAACTGGCCTTCAGATTCAAAACTGCTTTTCGTTTGAGATATTATATAAGGATTACAAATACCATGTAAAAATATTCGGTTAATTGTAGAAAGGAGGCAAAACTTATTTTATTTTTAAAAATAAAGATTTGCAATATGTCACTGCCTTTTTATTGGAAGTGGGTTTTCAGTTAGAATAAAGTTAACTTAATATAATATAGTAGTAGTAAGTAATACCACACTTTAAGTAAATTGATCAATCATTTGTGTAAATAAAAATCAATTGAAACATGTATGACGCATTTTGTTTATTTTTTCTATATTCGTCATTGTCTGGACAAGGTTTTCACGAAAAAAGATGTTTTGTAAGTCAATAATAAAAAGTAAAAAACCCACTTCAATTTCATTACGTTAAATGAGTCATTTCAGAGTTCTGATAAACGGCATGTTTTTTAAGAAAATAAGTGCATGATTTAAAGTAACTACCACCAAGTAATTAAAATTCAGTAGGTAAAAAAGAATTTGGCAAAAATGACATTTGAGGAATTGTGATGTTATGCAGAAAAAATCCTTTATGTGAAAGAGTGTTTGTTTGCTTGTATTGTGGTAAAATCCACATATCGAAAAACTTGGTTTGCTTCAACCAGCGAAAGTTATAATACTTAATAAAGTCAGTGTTCGTTTATATTTGACAAGTATTTATATAATTAGTAACTACAATTTGAATACTCGGACCGTTATTATAACATTAAGACCGTAGGATGTGGCTTTTACTTAGACACCTAGGATGTACCTCTATATATGATGTTGACTATCCAAAAGTTATCTTGACGTATTAAAAGTACTTAATTTTTTAAATTTTGGCTGGAAGTCGATGATTTCGGATATCTGGTACTTATCCCTAGTCGATATCACCCAAGAAATCGACGACGAAAACAAATTATATTATTCGTTTTTATAAGTAGGTACTGGCTGATAAAAATAGATTAAAAAGTCAGATAATTTTTATCATATCCATAACAATTGTACGAAATTAGGTAATTATTTAACTTCGCAATCTTGACTTTAACCGTTATCAGAATGCGACATGAGATATCACTTTGGAACTTTTTAATTTTTGAGTTTTATGATATGCGATTACATTAATCGGAATTAACGCGACGTTAACTAAAGATAAACGGTTTTACTCACGTATGCGTTTTGGAACTGACAAGGGAGTTTTGTCTGCATTCTGCATGCTCTATATGTAGATGGCTTCAGCTCTTCTCGCTTGTCCCTCTTCGGATCAAGAACTAGTCAGGCATTGCCAAAATACATAGTGAACCTTGTTATTGTTATACCAGTCACCATTTACACCGTACCTATCTTGTTAATTTCGATTAAGTGAATGTATTATTCCTGTTCGTCGACGTAAAAATCTTCGAAAAATAATGATAGAAAGAAAATGTAATGGCGCTGGAAAATTACATTTTCTATGTATCATTAATTTCAAGATGTGATAGAGAATATACTTCTACGTATACATTGACATCGTACCCCCAAAGATAATATTTATATGTATTTCTTCTTTTTATTCTTCCAGCAATTCACTCAAGTCGCCACCAGTGTCAGAAACTGGAAGACCACCCCTAGCAATGACGAGAACCTCGCCCTGTACTCCTTGTACAAGCAGGCCGTTTTTGGAGATGTTAACATTGGTAATATATGTTTTATGCTTATCTACAGTGGCTATAAGTGGTATAAGTGGATTCACTTAATTGAGTCCTTACCTGCGGGGTACAGGGGCGCGGAGGTACGACGGGAACAGGGACCGGGAGAGGTGTGGGCGGCGGGCGCTAGTGTTTGTGTATCTGTAGTGTTATTAAGCTAAAAAAATGTTAATACCACAACTTCTCAACCATTAAAATTCACTCCTCAATGTTAGTAGGTACTTAATGTTCCTGTACTTAGTTTTAGTTATTTTTACTGAATGAGAGATGCTTTGAGAATTAAGCGGTAATAAAATATCACCAAAATAATTCACGATTACTATTATGATTAATGGAACCGGGCATAGACAATGTAGATTTTTGGGACTTAAATTACGTATGACTTAAAATGTGACGTATTATTATTTTTAAGACTGCTTATTTGACTGTGACGAAATACTTCTAAATACCCAACTTGATTTAGACCTATCTTGAAATTCATCTGTGTTACTGTATCACCAATACGTAATAGTTAATACCATAAATATCACCAATAGTAATAAGCATGACAATTATTTAATACGTAATTTGATATTCCATTTACAGCTGAGCCCAGCGGTTTAGTAGAGAAGGCCAAGTTCAAGGCGTGGTCAGGCCGCAAGGGAATTTCCCAGGACGACGCCAAGAAACAGTACATTGATCTGGCTGAGCAACTGAAATCTAAATACCAGTAAATAATAATATAATAATAATAATACGTCTTAGGATATATTTTATTTTTATATTGATTCCCTATTTAAGATAAGAAAAAATAAATGTAATAATCAATACAGTTTACTGTTTTTTTTTGGAGTGTCATTTTTGAATATTTTTTGAGCGAATCGTAGGAATGAAAAGTATACTGACTAAGAGTCTCATAAAATCCGTGTATTTACAACGATACTACAAAAAGATATACAAAAGATGTATTTTTGTTCATTTCTAAATAGTTTCCAAGGCTCCTATATCGAAAAATTCTTTCTTAACCTCAAGAAATCTTTAATCGAACTTAAATACAATCTTAAGTTATCAGTCTCTTATCTAAAGAAATGGAATACTACCTTTCATTTCTTTCGGTAAGACTACAATAATGCCTTCTTCCTCCGAGCATTTTTCTCAAACTAGATTGGGGTCGGCTTCATCATCATCATTAGCCTATCGCAGTCCACTGCTGGACATAGGCCTCTCCCATTGCACGCCACTTAGATCAATTTTGGGGTCGGCTTAAAGTCTATTAATACACGACTGAACTTCGATTTTTCACGTGGATCGACTGTCATCGGACCTCAACCAATACAACGCAAGTGCTAGGCGTTATCGAAGTTCTGTAGAAAGACTGTTGTCGGACTTTTTAGGGCTCTAAATACCAATAATTGCAACATATGTTCGTATGGCAACCGGGACCGACGTCTTAACCTGTTCACCGAGGCAAAGAGGGGTCTCAATGTGTTAAGATTGTTCACCCATCCATAGACAGCCCTAGAAAGGATTGCTTGACTTTGCAATGTGTGTGACCTACTCGGTTACCGCTTAGCCAAGAGCCCCTCTCTACAACAATGCTTATGCAACCAATTAAAAGACGAATTCATACTACGTAAAGTGAGAGAATTAATTAATAAACCTTCATGCACGATTCGTTCAGTTTTTAAAATAAAATCACAAATAAATAATAGGTATGAGATATTACTTTATTCAAATGTTTTTTTCGAAAGTCACTAATACAATCTAATCAGATATTTGAAATTTAACCTGCGTTCTGTTGTAGTTTGGTACCTAAGTATATTTATATTAGATAACTGTCCACATGTCTTGTGCGGCAACAGACGCTGAAGAAGAACAAGATCGACTGAGGTATGAATTAGTCTCTTAGAGTTAAAAAAGATCAGGCACTTTCACTGTACCGTGTTACGGTATATCGAAAGTTCAAAAGGAGTCTTTCCTGAATTTATCATAGATAAAAAATTAGATTTTATGTGGGTAAGTGGGTACCTATAGGAGATAAAACGGTTTTTCATCCACTCCATGACACGTATCTATTTACTTCAATAAAAATAAATACATCTTGTAGCTGTAAATGATTGAAATAGAGCCTGATTAGAGAGAACAGCAAACATAACAAACTATAACCAGAAGTCATCGAAATTTTTGTGACTTGTATACTTCAAGTCCATGAAATTCGTAAAGCCAAATATTAACATGTCCATTTAAAAAGAAAACATTCAAAGAAAATAAAAACACCTACATTACAAAAGAAAAAAGTAATTTGAATTTGACGTAGGATACTACTAATAAAAAAATCGTATCTGTAGTAAAATCATGACAAAATCAGACGTAATATTTACTTTCAATTTTTATTTTGGAAAATTACACCATGGTATATTTGATGAAAAGGTTTTTTTACATCTAAAACATACAAAATTTCAGAGCGAAATTACTTCCCGAACGAAGTTGTCACATCCATACGAATTTATAACCTGTCATCTGTCACACTGACACTGTCAAAGACAAAAAAGTAATTAATTACTACGGATTGCAAGAAGGTAGTATGTTTTACTTCTCTTTTTATTTTATAAGTTAAAATAAAGTAACTAAAGCGATACAGATCTTATAAATTTTTTGTTAATTAGTACCCACGGCGGTATTTAAATCATTATAATAAATATTTTTTCCTTGTGCACACATTGGTTATGGATATCGTGCATTCGTAACTTCGCAAGCAGTTTCTAAAAAGTTTTCGTTCTGAGCGCACGCGGTTCTCCCTATCAGTAAGTTTAGTGTTCAGAATTTTTGAGTAGTGTAAGTAGTAGGTAGTTTAAATTTTTATTTGTTTTTGAAAAGTAGGACATCAAAAATGGTTTAAGGCATTTGGAAACTTTTATATAATTATGAATGTAAATATTTAGCCGGTAGAAAACTTTGCGGCTAATTATAACTTTCTTTTTATTATTGTGATTAAAATTTTCATTTGTTTTATTATAGGTTAACCACAGCCATTATCAAGCATCATGTCTCTCCAGGAAGTGAGTACCGATTTTTTCTTTTTAACCATTCCAAAATACCGCTATAATATAAAATACTATTTATTTTATTGGCATATTTAGTTGATGATATTATTCAAAGCATATTGGTGGATTATAGACATTTCTATGTCAAGTGGTTTAATAATTGCCTATTAAAATCTTTTATTTACAATTACATTTTAACTACCCTTCTTTACGTGAACAGTCAAAGTCAGATAAAGCAATGGTTATCTTATTTTTGCTTTTGTTTAAAAAAACAAAACCTATTTATTTCAAAAGGTGATTTGAATATTCAGAGAGCTTATCTGTTATGTGTATGAATTTTTTCATGATCATGTGTCATTATAAGGCACTTGACATTCAATTGACTTACTCAGATAATCATTTGACTACAGACTGAGACATGAAATATTAAAAACAAGTTTAAAAATAGAATTTGATTCAAGCAATAGTCAAATTAAAGAAATGAACAATAATTTCTTTGACTATGGCTCACTGCCTTTTTGCTACTGCCTTTGACCTTGATGTGATGTGATGTGATCTGTGATCACAATGTTTTTCTGACCTGGAATATCTTTAGTGTCTATGACGTTTAAGTAATTTCCTGGTGTGAGCATAGTGTTTTAGTAGCAGAAGTGTACAAAAAATAATGATAAATGAAATATCTGGATTGTGTATGTGTATTTGTACAGACAATAAATATTCATACAAAATATTTCTGGTTGGTCTATCATGTTAAAGAAAGTTTGTTAATAAGTGTTATGTGGTACATTGCAGTGTTTCTTGAAGTCATATTTTTATTTCTTGTTCTTACATTGAAACGTAATTTAATTTTGTTCTCACCTCAAGATGAACACATATTAAAACAAACTTTGTATTTTGTACCATATTATCCTTAATATATATCTGGTTTGTTTATCGTGTTAACTGTGGAAGAGCCATGATTCGTTACAAATGGATCGACCGGAGTGTTGAAAACCAGTGTTAAATATTTTTTAGTTGGTTTTCACAGAGTGAGTGATGTTATCAGAATATAAAAAATTTAAATTAATTCGTACAAAGGCATAAGTAGCGGTCTGTTGTAGCGGTAGGCAGGACTGTTGGTCTAGTGGTTAGTGACCGTGACTGCTAAGCCGGACGTTGTGGGTTCGATTCCCACCCAGGACAAATATTGTGTGATGAGCACAGTCATTTGTTCTGTGTCTGGGTGTAATTTATCTATAATGAGCATTTATTAAAATAAAATATAAGTATGTTTATCAGCGGTGTGATTTCTATAGGACAGGCTCTGCCTAGTTTGGGATCAGAGAGACAGATGTTTGAGATATATATAAAAAAAATAAGCACTCTAAATCAAAAAAACTACTCTATATCAGTATTATATTCATTGATCATATTAAAATCACTTGAATTAATATATTTTATATAAATACACACATCCAAAATAAAGCATGACATTATTTGACGACCGACTATTTCGTTTCGAGCTCTGGTCGATATAGTTGTCTGTTTGTCTAGTGGCTAGTGAATCTGACTGCTAAGCCAGTGGTCGTAGCTTCGATTCCCATACAATACAAATGTGTGATGAACCACGATCGTTTAATTACAATAGTACCGTCTCTGCTTAGTTTAGGATTAGACAGCCGTTTGTGAGATGTCTCAAGTTATCATCATAATTATCATTATACTATTTGAGACTTATACTTTTTTAACGTTTTAACACAAAAAAAACTTTCTAAAAACAGAAACTCCCGCCATCTTACTTTTCTAACGGTTCTTAATTTAAAATAAGTGTCAGTCATGTAGCAACAAAACGTAAGTGTATTTAATAAACATTATGCCATTAGATGTAAACTTTAGACTATTAAAGACTATTCAGAATGACCTGTGGACTTAGAAACTAATTATAAACATACATTGTCCTTATTGTCATACAATGCGTGGGACATAATGCTAATGTCAACATTTATTCAACACATTTTGGACATAATTTCTTTGGAGTATGTGTCATGAATTTTGTAATTATTAATTGAATGGCTTACCTAATCTGAGACAGATTTCCTACGATTAATAAAATAAATCGTTTGCAAATGGTATTCATATTCATGGACCTATAAATGGTTTGAGTCACGAGTGTATTTCGATGATGGCCGACTACTTCGGGTCCGGGTCAAACAGAAAAACACAGTAGAAATTAATTATTATTTTAAAACCTCTCTTTTTTGTTTTGTAGATATTATTCTTCTATAGTCACCTACAGGATTCTACTGTTTTGTTACAATATTATTATGTCTAGACAGGTGCACCACTCATGCATAAATTATAATGAAACATATTAAAGTACAGTCATGTACAGCATGCACCTACTTACCTAATATATTTTAAGCATGTTTGTTGGTTGGTAAATCTTCAAGTGTTCAGGAGTTATCCAAACTTTGTATATATTGATTATTTGATATTCTATCTATATCTTTACATAGTATAAAATGAAGTCGCTGTTTTTTTTTGTACGTTCATTCAGCTTCAAGAACTCCCCTCCCCATCCTTGTTAATCGTAAATCTTTCGAGATTGACTGAGGAGTTAAAATAATTTTCTAATTTAATTAAAAGAGGCTCACATGCGTTGTAGTAGTTATATGCCCAGTTCCACCTTACCTACTTATTCAGACCGCAACTTGGGGTAAACGACAATGCAAACCCTGATATCCGGCTATCTGACCTTAAAGATGACCGTATATCCGGACGAAGTTATGCGTTTCATCTCTAGTATATGTTTATTTACACCTTTAGAGAGGATTTGAGCTCCAAGTAGTGTTTTGGGTTATAACCGTTATATAATCAGGTAGTCTAACTAGTGTTGTCTTTCCAGCAATTCGACAAAGCTGCCGCTGATGTCAAGAATCTGAAATCTCTTCCATCCGACAATGATCTGTTGGAGTTGTATGGTTACTTCAAACAAGCAACCGTAGGAGACGCCGATCCCGCAAGTGAGTTGCACTTTTTTTTATATTTACATAAATAATATTCATTGTATTAAAAATTTGCAAGGCAACTAAATAAAATGGTTAAAAAAGCGTACAACATCGAATTGGATATTTGATGATAAAATTTTGGAATGCAGCAGTTTAGAGAAAAACTAAAAGTATTTAAGAACTAGTAGTATTTAATATTGCATTATAATATAAATATGAAGTTAAATGACGATCTTTCTTCACATTCTCAAAAACTATATCTTTTTAATTTAGTACATAAATAATCTGTCTAGTATATCATTTTCTCTTTGTATTTGCAGACCTCTTACCATTTTTCATTCCACCCTCGTAATAGCATGTTTTTTTAAACAAACCGGTGCAGGTCATCAACGGCAAAACTGTCAAACTTGTCAATTTCTCTTTGTTGGGCACGGATAGCAAATAAATATATACGTATTCGACCTAATAATCATGATGAAAATTTTTACCTATCGAAAAAAACTATACCTCAATTGTTTCAACTGACTCCCTTAGTAGTTAATCAGCATAGATACTTCGTTCTGTATAAAACAAGTTTTTTAAAGTTCTTTTGCCATAAAGTAGGTTCTTATCAGTGGGTATTATCGTGGGATATTTAGATCCACGTAACTCGTAAATGTTTTGGCGTGGCAAGGTGTTGTGATAGTAAACTCATGGTGTAGGAATAAAAATAGCTATTAATGGTTCACTTATTTTCCAGTACCACGTTTAAATAATAGTAGTAGATTATGAAACAACTTGATACCTTTTTTTTTAATAATAGTTAAAAATATATAACACAGGGTTTCTGGTCAAGTAGACCTCGGTACTTTAGGGGTTGTAGTTATCATCATTCCTGATAGATTTCACTATGAAATACCATATCCCCAAATCTTACCATTTTTTATCCTCTTTCTTTCTTTTTTTACGGCTTTTTTGTCGTTGATACGTTGTTTTATAATTACTATCACTAAAATTGTAGTTAACAAACTGGGCTGAAGGAGAGGATTGAACATAATAGCAAAAAGAAATAAATAATCGTTTTTTTTTACTAATATTAAAAAAAAGCTATGAGAGTTCAGTTGCAGATATGTTAAAGTGGGTAAAATTGTTAGCTATCTAACAAGTTATAATAGTCTAGGAGTTTAGGATAGTATCAGAATTCATAGAAAAACAGTGTATGTGTGAGCTCCGACGCACGACTGGAGTTTACTCCTTAAGAACGATTCGGCTGCACACAAGTATACAAATTAAACACACATGTGAAAGTTGCGCACGATAGGATAGGTTGCGCCAAAAAAACGTAGTGAGGTCATTCGATCACTAAATTTTACTCTTCATACCGGGCGCCCTATATGTCGTTTAATTATTAATCATATAGGTAATTTATCGTTAGTAAAGCTTAATGCTACATAGATATCTTTTGATAGGGATTATATTGGACAGTATCAATATTTTTTTATTTCTCTGAATTTAGGTATCTCGCTAATTATCTATAATAATAATTTTTAATTTTAAAATTACTACCACGGCAACTGTTAATCACTCAGATTAAACGCAAAAGACTGTTTCATTGTTGATTACAATTCTTAGACACAAGAGACAGATTTCATGTATTATGTTTATAATTCTCCATTTATATTATCAAAATAACTTTGAAAATTACGAACTTCCATACAACCGTTCATCCCTTAGGTTCCCTTAGGTACTTACATTACAACTTATAAAGCATCAGATGCCAAGGTTTTCAGCCCCAGTGAAGGCTCTGCGTTAATGAATTAGTCAGTCAGTGCAAGTAATTTTATAAGTAGGTGTAGATAATATTGATTTCTGAATATTTTATTTGGGGACGACGCAACACAATAAAACGGTTACATGTTGTTTTTTAAAAAGATAATTAAAATAAATGTTTTTTACTGAATGAGGTAGAATTGGCGGCAAAATCTAGCATATTATACAGATTTTACACACGGAAATATGTTTATCTCAGACTTATTTTATTCTATCAGCCTGGATTTATTATTCAGCGTCATAATAACATGTATGAGAACAATAATGACATTTTCCAAGCGATGCTATCTTGCAACTTAAATATTATTTTGCAGGAGAACCTGCTTGTTTGCTTATAATATGTAAAACAAATGTAGATTTTTTTATTCAAAAATAAGGATTAAACATAAAACCAGTTAAATGCTTGAATAATTTATTTTAGAATCGACATTAATCAAGATATAAATAGATAAAAAGTACCTATCTATAAAACTCTTTAAAAACTCAATATTGTTACTAAAAATATAATCAAATAATGGTCGCACTAGCAGTCTAGTGTGCGGTTAATTACCACCGCAATGGTGCTTTTTGCAGTAATTACCTTCGGTCGTTAGTACTTATGACTAAACTAAACATACCATTAACCCGCCTGATGTAAACGCGCTCCCCAAGGTCAACCTGTACGCGTTCCCTGATAATCGAAACGCAACTTAGCGATTGACTGCAATTGTCGCAACCTACCCGCAAAGATATATTTGTCTACTGAATAAATACAATATTCAACTGTCTTTGGACTACATTGTATTTTGTAGTCTACTGATGCACATCGGCTTCTCCTTAGATTGGATGTTATGGCCTACTATACCTTGCTAGCCAAACTAGGTATAGCTTTTGCAATGCTGTTGTCTTGCGTAGTTTGTTTCCTTAGTCGGCTGTTACCCACCCCGGGGTGAATAGGAGTGGTGACACTCAGATTCTGTTACTACAACGACACTAACAACCCAACAATAAAGAACACAAAAGTAAGGGTTTTATTGTTATCTATGAAATCAGTTTTCATGAATAAATTATTATTAAGTAGTAATGTATTTCTAAGACTAGCAGAAAGAAACCGATTAAACTTTCGGTCACAATATAATATAATCACATTACAGTCACATGATCCGGTGATTTATAGCCCCCCCTTCCCCAATTAGCGCAGGGCCAGATATTGGCAACCGCAACGTTCTCTCTACATTTTAAAGCGATTTTTCTTCACCACTGTATTTAACGCAGGTTACGTAACCATGATTTAACGCAGCAATAAGTCCAAAACTGTATGTGTTTAATATATTCCTCGAAGCAATCATTGTCTATGTACAGACCTTGAAAATAAACGTCACGCCACGGTGTGACTAAACTTTTTACGATCGATTATACCTACAACTTATCCTGTGTTACACGTTCATTACAAAAGAAGTCACAAAAGATTTCGATTGAAGAATTAAACTCCTTCAATTTCAAGGTTATGATAGCGTTTAGCTATTAAATTAGTTTGAAGCAATCCGTTGATAAATCATTGAAATAAAAGTCATAAAGTAAACTTAAAAGAAATTTTAAAAGATTTCCCTTGCGTGCTCTAACAATCCCATACTCTGAATCATCACATCACATCAACAGCCTTTACTAGTCCACTGCTGGACATAGGCCTCTCCTTAGAAAGGAGGATACTCTGAATGAAACGACTTAACAAAAAAGGGAAATTTAATGACACTGATTATTTTTCTGTGTTTGTATTTTGCAAATGGTGAAGAATACGGCTCACTACAGTTTATAATCACCCGTGTGGTGACGGATTAAGAATACGCAGTTTCACTATAGAAAAGGGGTAGTCATCCCGTGGGTGTCGTAAGAGCCGACTAAGGGAGCAAACTATGCAGGGTAACTTCACTGCAAAGAGAAGGAAAACTTGAAACAAATCCATACCAACCCGTCTGGCCAAATAGGTCAAAACCTCCTTTCTGATTAAAGGCCTTTGTCCAGCAGTGGACTACAAAAGGCTGTTGATAATGATGATGACAATTTATAATTGAAGTCAAATACTTTTGAAAGTTAATTAAACCAAAATGTTCGCAAAGTGCTTACTACAATGACGTAGCGGCAAAGTAACCCCTGCGGTCGCCGAATGTTTTCCGTTGTGAACAAATATTTGTATGCATAAATAATGTCTGTTTGTAGTTAGTGTTTCCATCTATATTATGCATGTATTTACAAGAAAAATGCAATGCTTATTTCTAGTAAGTAGGTATGTGTCCTGTGTACAATATCCTAGAATAGTATTCGAGAAAGAGAGAAAGAGAGAAGAAAAAAAATAAAACACAATTGTTTTGTATTCATGATGTATATGTTATGTAATATAACTAGCATAATAAATATAATTATAATGATAATAATGTTTGTAAAGTTTTCTGTAGTAATTTGCCTTCTTATTATTACAATTTACATAAATATGCTATGAAATAATTTTTAATAAGAAGGTACATGTAACAAAGTTTAATCACCATTTTACTTACCTGGTTTATGATCTTAATGAATCCATGAAAATATCTCCATGCAAAATTTTATTTAAATCGGTTTAGTGGTTTAACCGTGAAAGCGTAACAGATGACAGTGTTACTTTCGCATTTAAAATATTAGTAGGGATTATTGTGCATCGTCGAAACCTTTACATATATTATTTAAAAAATACAGCCATTTTGTAAGGAACGACAATGCATGGCATGGAAGGAAAGAGGTCCACGATGGGGGATTACTTCAGAAAACCATGTGACCTACGCTAAGTTGTCACCGAGATTGTATAAAAAAAGAATCAAAATTTTATCGAAAACCGCAATCGTAAGATTTAACTTAAACCAAGTAGAGTAGAAGGGTCAGAAATTAACCTTAAATATGGACATTAAAAAGACGATCTTGATGTTCCATAGTCAAAGCTATTATTAGGCTATTCGGAAGTATTGATTTTCCCAGGCCGAGCTTAACAACCTCCTTAGTTTAGGTCAAGTAATTTTGAGGGTTTCCGTACCTATTCTTGTTGAATATCTCAAGTCCCTTAATGTGCCTGTTACATTATATTTTTTATTTACATAATAACATTACTATGGTCAGTTTATCTTTGTATCCTGGAGGCCATTCTAATCACAGGATGCGACCCTAGGACCCCAGGAGAATCACACGGGTTAGCGACCCCG